AGGGCTGAGATATGTTACCGACAAAAATTATTTTTAGACTGTAATTTTTATCAAATTAAATGTTCACAACAACCAACAATATGAAACAACAACCACAATAGCATCAACATTACAACATCAAGTTACAATGTGATTTTTGAACCGCATTTAATAATGACACCAAACCTTCATCAATAACAACAACTACAACAACGACACCAAATTATCACCAATAACAACAACAACAACAACATCAACAACTACAACAACATCAACAACACCAAATTTTCATCAATATCAGCAACAACAACAACATCATCAACAACTACAACAATATCAACAACACCAAATTTTCATCAATATTAGCAACAACGACAACAACAACATCATCATCAACAGCAACAACAACAACAATATTAAATAACATCATATCATTGTCTTGCATGTTGTAACAGAATTAGAACTTTTTAAAACTTCAATAAAAACTTAGTGCTGCCAATAACAACATCAGCAACAACAACAACAACATTGAAACAACAATAACAACTTAACAACATTGAAACATCATCAACAACAACAACAACATTGAAACATCAACAACAACATCAGCAACAACATCAGCAACATTCTTATAACAACAGATGGTCTACAACAACAACAACAACAACATTTATATAGCGCGTATTTTAAACAATAAAACACGAATAAAGACCAGGATGGCTTGTTCAACATATGTAACAACAGCTTGGCTCCTGCCACATTCACCACATCTTCTACTACAACTGATGTTATTACTTCTACTCTTAATACTACTACTACTACTACTACTACTACTACTACTACTACTACTACTATTACTACTACTACTACTACTACTACTACTACTACTACTACTGGTACTACTACTACTACTAGTAGTAACTACTACTACTTCCACCTCTACTACTACTACCACTACTTTTTCTACTACTACTATTACAACTGCTGCTATTGCTACTACTACTACTACCACAAAGACTACTACAACTACAACTACTTCTACAGTGAATGTTGAAAAAGCAGTACAACAACTACAACCACAACTCCAAGCTAAACTTGATCAACTTCCTGACTTCAACTGCCACCACTCCTTCCATTTTCATCCACTCTACATGTTTTCGTGCACCTCTCGCATGGCTGGAGTGAGCTGGAGTGAAGTGGAATGCGTCGTGGAGTGCGTGTTTAACTGAACATGTGTTGGAGTCACTGAATGTATATGTAAGTATATACACACACACACCACACACACACACCACACACACACACCACACACACCACACACACACACATACACACACACACATATACCACACACAAACACGCCACACACACATATACACACTCACACACACACACACATTCACAAACCTAGTCACAAACACACACACGTATATGCATACATACATCGTACAGACACGCACACAAACGCATATACATACAGTTTTGTGTGGAGTAGTTTTGTAGGTGTCTCTCTCTCTTCTCTCTCTCTCTCTCTCTCTCTCTCTCTCTCTCTCTCTCTCTTTCTCTCCGTATTAGTTGGCCTCTGCCTATGTCTTTTTACAAATGTCTACTACATGCACACACACGGTTGATAATTTTTTAAAAAATTTTAAAGCAGAGAAAAAACTTGTCAACTATTTTTGAAAGAGCCGTTAGGCATAACTTTGGGAAAAGATTTGAAAATGAGAAGACAGTTTGAGAAACAAAAGCTGAATGGTTTCCAAACTGAAGATAAATTTTTAATTTGAATTTATGACAACAAATTTTTTTTTCAAAATTTACTTGTCAGTGTTTGGCGAATGTTTCGAATCTTTTAAAAAACCAAATCACAACATGAAAACAGTTAAAACACGAACAGTAGTTATATAACCGACGATGGAGTTGAAACAGTGTTGCATCTTCCAACATCAGTACTACAACACCAACTCGCAACAACACACACACTCTCAAATTTCAATCTTTCCATTAACTAATCGCAAAAAAAATTTAATTGAAAGAAGCAAGGCTAGAAAATTCATCAAGTTTCCACAACAACTACACACATCAGCAAAAAAAATCCATTTAGTTATCCAATTAATCAACAACAACATCAACGAAATGACATCACAGTTACAGACAGTATTACATTA